CGCCGATACAGAGCAAACTTCGCCGCCAATAACAGTATGTTTGCTGTTATCGGTTAAACCAAAGAAAAATGTGCTGAAAATCCCGCTTACGCAGAATCAATCTGAGTTTTGGATACCAGTGCAAGTGCACTATTGCCTGGATTCCGTACAATGTGAAACTGTGCAAACTACTGCATTACAGTCTGTTTAAAAACCCTAAATTTCATAGTTTTAAAAAATTTTTCAGATTTTTTCAAAAAGCTTGAACCCTCCTACCTACATACAGTGACTTCATAATGCAGACGTCTGGCTGGGTAGACTGATTAACACTAAACAGTAATAAGAAAGCTGGACGAAAAGTGCAGACGAAGTTATCAGAGCAAGAAAGTGAAGAAATTCTCGTCTAAAACTATAAAATGCAGTCGCCGAATATTTTTAATCTACTGATCCATAAAATAATTAATAGTCGTTAGTCAACAACAGTCTAATGAGCAAATTCTTCTCGTCACAGCAATAATCGTCAATTGTCACTGGAATTTTGTGACTATTTTGATGTCTGCGACTATATTAGTATTCGCCAGTTGCCCCCCAACCTTTCCATTTACCCGGTGATGAAATCGTCGCCTTGTGTAACAAGAACAATAGCAGGAGGAACAGGATTAAAAATAATAATAATAGTAATAATAATAATGATAATAATAATAATAATAATAATATGCAGGTACATGTGTATATATAGTTTGTTGGTGAGTCTAAACGTCAAGAAAACCAACAATATAATTAAACGCTTATGAGCAACAAAACTGAAAACTGCCATTAACCATGGTGGAAACTATGAGCAATAATTGTCCTGAATGAAAAATGAACAGTACAAATGACAATAACAATAAAACAGGAAGAAAAGCTGCAGAACAAAACCTTTTTTAACGATAGTCCAATTTCATGACAAAAAAAAAAGAAAAAAAAGAGAGGAGGAAAAAAGGAAAAAGAAAAAATGAACAGAAAATCAATATACGTCGTACACACACTGTCATTTTTTACATTATCTATGCTCATTTTAGACGGATCTGTAGATGCACACAAATACTTAGCGAGGAACGGAAAAGAACAGATGAATAAAAATGGAAATTTAACCTTTTTCCCTTCCCATGTGGTCTTTGAACTAAAATATGTAACTAAAAAGAAAAAATTGAAGAAAAAGCATGCAAGAAAAACCACTAAACATCTCCATTCAATCCGTATGTTCGTCCTTCTTTCCCACTTCTTTTACTCTCCTACCTTTCTTTCATTCTCCCTCTGTCTCTAATACAAACGAAACTACATTTACAGACGATGCTTGAAACTAAAACTGTGTAAACTGAAACTTCTCCTTTATTGATCCGAACCAAAATGGTAATGGTTGATAATTTGCACAAAAAAAGTAAATTTTTGAAATTTTAATACTAAAAACAAATTGAAAAAAACCACAAAAGGAAAAACAGATGACAAGGTTTCTCCATCAGCATCGTCCTTTTTCTCTACGAATGCCGTTGCCTACTCGTCATCATCTTCGTACTAATCGTCATCGCCATTGTCATCACCATCACCATCACCAACGACAACAACAAACAACAATATATAACAACAGAACAAATAGAACAGCACTGGCAGTAACAGTAGCAGCATCAGCATCTTCATCATCATCATCAGCAGCAGCAACCAGAGCAGCAGTGGCAGAGGCAGCAGCAGATGGAAAAAACATCAACCCTAAGGAGTGAAAGAAGAAACGAACAAAGAAAGAACAAATGACAACGAAAAAGTGCAATAAACAAATACCGAAACTTGAACCTTCCGCAACTCTCTTTACTAATTCATTAATACCCTTCCTGCAAAGACACAGACACAGACCCACAGACACGCACACACACTGATATATTTATACATATGTATCGGCAAAACGCATACATACAGACACACAGACACAGACACAGAGCAAACACACACACTATCAAACAAACATCACAGTCTTATTTCACTTCAGCTTTCCGCACTTTCGAAGCACCCCAAAAAAGACTTAAATTTTAAATGCATATATCACTTGGTTGCTGACATCAGTAAAATCCCTGTCAATATCGCAACAAAGTGAGAAAAAAACACGAACGAGGCAAGAATGAAAAAAAAAAAACATCTGTGCATGTGGAAAAAGGGAAAAAAGTGAAAATCATTGGATCTATATGGCCTTTCTCTGTTTTTTCTTTTATAGCTACAGCACTAGCATTACTAAAACATTTTTGCTGTAGTTGGAGAAGCCGAAAAAATTTTCCTTGAAAATAACTTCTTTTTTCTTCTGTCTTGATAAAGAAAAACACTCAAATGCTGAATGCATGGAAAGACAAAAAAAAAGTAAGAAAGAAAAATTGATCTCGACAAAGAATAGCAGTATTATTTTGTAATATGCCTAGACTTTTAGACGTTCATAACTTACAGAAACCGTTAGACTAATTGTATTTTTCAACTAACATTTTCGAAAAAAAAAAAGGCTAAAAATTTCACAGCTTTTCTGAACAAATGCTACAACATTCAATCAACAAAACTTTTTCAAACACTACCGCCTTTTCACAACTGAAATCAATTAAACTATCTTTTTTTTCTTCTTCCATACTCCCACCCATTCCTCCTCAACTTTTGTTGGCCTCCCACTATCGGCTAACCACAACCTTGTGGAATTTTTCAATCAGTGATAGTTGTCATGTCATCAGCTAATTTTTATACCACTTTTTCATATTTTTTATCTGCAACACTTAACAGGTACTTTGTTTTCGAGGTTTACACACAAATTTTTTTCATCCCCCGTTCCATCATCGCTTCAAAAACAGTTCCGGCTGTTTACCAGATAAATCTGTATATTCACTAATGCAGCAAGTGAACTGTGCAAATAGCGTCTCATAAAAATCAATTCATCATTAAAAATTTTTAAAACTAATGTTCATAACACAATATTATAATAATAATTTTGCACAAGAAAAAATTGTTGAATTTTTTGCGCAAGAGTGCTTTCAAAATAACCTCTTCACAAATGAGCAATACGCTTCATCCCTGCTTTCAACCTTCTTACCGCATTCATCAACTATCATTTATCATCTATATATTTTAAACATTTAGCTGCCGTTGCAATCGAGTTCATTTTAGAGACTGTGTTTTCTGTAGAGGTGTCACAACAGCAATGACAAGAACTAAAAAATAAAAAAAAAGTGCAAAACGAAATCAAGAAATCAAGACGTGAAGCACAAAAAAAAGTGTTTAAATATAAATAAAAATTGACAGGCAAAGATGCAAAAGAAAAAAAAATGGTTAATTCAGATTGCTGACATAAACAAAAAATATAAAAACATCGTTTCTGATTTAAGAAACACCGATAAAATTTAATAAAGCAAACAGATCAGAACTGAAACAAGCTAATCAAGCCAAAACCATTTGGTTGCTTGTTAAGACCAAAGTAAAGAGATTATGCCTCTTCTTAACTGCTTTTCTTACTTTGTTATTTTGCCGAAACTACAACCGCAGTTTAAAAAAAAAGTATTTTTTATGGCAGTTTAATTCCACATCTGATACCATACTGGTGGTATGTTGGACCTTCGGGATATCGGTCTTCAAAACACGATAAGATAAAATACGATGCCGACTTTGAAGATGGCTCCACGTTCCACCAGTGCCGCAACCGTTTTTCATCCCCTCCACCCCCCACTCCCCCTTCTCCTATGTCTTCTCTCTCTTTTTTCTGCCCTTCCGGAAATGCAAATGTAATTCTTCGGAGAGTTTCCGAAAGTCGCTTGATGTGCCTATAAAAAGACAGTTTGTTCGTCATTCCGCGATGACTATGTATATCGGCGAACAGCAAGCAAGCACCATCAGCAGCTGCAGAGACGAGTGATGGTTTATTGAGGGAATCGACTGCGACTACCAAACAGCAGTCACGACAATAACAACAACAACAACAACAACAACAACAACAACAACAACAACAAAAAAACATTGCTTACGATGACGATGACGACGACCAGGATGAAGACGACGATGATGACGACAACAGCATCATCATGAACACCCAGCGACGATCAACCAAAACACTTAAGCACACACCGACATCGGCTGTTCCTTTGTTCCCGAACTGCGTAATGGAACAGTGAGAAAGCGTTCGTTCTGAATGCTCGTACTTTCGTCAGTATTTAACCACAAAAATGTTTATCAAAAATATTCAATAAATCAGTTGCAAAAGAAGATCACAAGGGAAAAAAAACGAATAAAATCTTTTCCTCTGATATGAAATAACCAAATTGAATTTTTTTTTTTTTTTGCAGAAAATTTCACCTGTTTTCCAGCGTTCAATTACGTTTTTCTGGATCAAAATTTGTGGAATGAGGAGAACAAATAAATGAGAAAAAGAACAAAACTCCCATCAGCCAAGTATTTCAATTCAGTAGACTAAATCAACCAAATTTAAAAGTATATAATAAATTCTTTTTGACCCGCAAATTTTTTTTTCGCTCATCATTCATTCAAAAAAAAAAAAAAAAAA